CTCGGGTTCGCAGACGTTATTTTCGGCGGAGACAAGCGACAGCCGGAAATACGTCTGCGTTCGTAGGCTAATAAAGCGGCAATGAACCAAAAAAATTAAAAAGCAGTGTTGACAGAGATGCTTTCGAGTTGCTCTTGCGTAACTTACAAATTGTGAATAGCTTATTAACCACTGGGGATTCATAACATGGGATTTGTACATGATGTACATATTCTTGTCCTTGTCCCAATACAATAATTACAGCAAAATGTCTGGATGCAAAGTCTTAACATCTCTTGGAGTTCTTCTCTAAATGATGCCCAGACAGCGATATGACTTCAAATAATTCAGTACAGCGGAAATGACATATCTCGATAAGGTGACTGGTTAGGTTATACAACAATTGTTGTCGAGGTTTCTGCATAGAAATACTTCATATAATCATACAAGGAATATTTACTCATACGGTAACGTACTTTTTACGAATTATTTGCGACAGAAAATCAAAGAAAAACAATTTACAGAGTATAAATGTCAAGATAAAGAAAAACGATGTGCGGGTTTACACAGTACTGATGATATAAACTTCTAAACGTCCGTTAGCGTTTACACCAGAATATATTTCGTAAGAGAGAAGTGATATTTTTGGTATATCTAATACTTCTTGCTTTAAAGTTTTACGTAAGCGCTGTGAAAATGTATGATTTGTTGAGGGTTGTTTTGACGTGTGGAGCCAAGCATCACGAACGTACCATATCACTTCCGTCACGAAACCTCACGGAATGTACGAAGCGTGAGTCAGCAGTGAACAGTTTAGGCAGTCCTTCGCCATTTCACCCTCTTCTTCTTCTTCTGAAGTTGAAGGTCACTGTCACATCTTCTGGTGGTCAAGAAGACAAAAGCAAAAGTAGAGATCAGTTGATACAGATTTGAAAAGAGCAAGAAGGTAGGAACTTTAACAGAAATTATCGATGTGTTAACACAGGCAGCCCAAGCTCTCTCTATGAACCACACAAGCAACACAATATGGCATCGAATTATAAGGGT